TCCTCGGGCTCTTGCTCCGCTTGGTGGAAAAACTGATGCGGCCCAGCCTCATCCAGACTCTGCCTCCAGCGGCCCCCAGGTAAATTGAGTTTGACACCCCTGATTTAGAGTATATGTCAGTGTCATCACCTTGAAGCTGGCACGGAAATGGACAGGTAGCCAATGCAAGGTGGCCAGAATGGGGGTGATATGGTGGTATTTATTTACTCCACACACAGTGATCTGGCCACCATATTAAGGAGCTGTTGAAGTTTCTGTAGCAGCCTCATGGGTAGCCCCCAGGTAAAGAGCATTACAGTAGTCTAATCTCAGGAAGGACCCGCTGTCAAAGCAGGGACACAGCTGGGCGATCCACCTAAGGTGGGAAAAGGCAGAACAGAACAGACCAAAGGCACTGCCTGAGACTCCATTGATAGTGCTGTGTCCAAGAGTATGCTCAGACTGCAAACCTCATCCTTAACAGCCCCCAAAAAAGAAAGGGAGGTCCCCAAACCACAGACACTAGGGTCACACACCTGCAGGACCTCCGTCTTGTCCAGGTTCAACTTCAGTCTGACTTATTTTATGCTCAAACTTTAAAACCTTTCCATGCTTTCACTTTGCATGCTTTTATTCACAAGTGGGGATGTGAAACACAAATTAGCAAACCACTAACCATACAAAAACAAGCTAGCATGACTGCTGTTATCAGTGCTTATTTCAGAATCTGAAGGGACTTTCGGGCTGGAGTTCTTAAGATACTGACTTCCACTAAAATCAGTGATTTTTTTACTTCTGCATAAGCACATTTAGATTTGAATTGTTACTAAAGCGAGCTGGAAAGTTCAAATGGAGAACATATACTTTGCATGCAAATGATTCAGGATCTTTGTTGTTGTTTTTGAAAAGAATAACAGAACACCTTAAGTAACTAGAAATTGGTAATGGTCACATCTGTGACCTAAAAAGCTACACACAATGGATAGTTGTGAAGGGAACTTTGACCGCTTGTTAACAGAGTAGCAGTGTGATTAACTGAGTTGTGTATGTGGTGAACTATGTATTATAGATGTTTTTTAGAACAAATTGTTAAATATATTTTTAAAATTGGAATGTCTTCGTGAGTCCATTGCTCCTTATTGAGAACTGTTTCAAAGCTCTCAATGGGACAGTAATTTCTAATGGGGGAGGTATGTGAAGGGAACCCTGGCCAATCCGTTTGTTAGACAGGGTAACAATGTGATTGGCTGGGTGGTGTATGTAGTCAGCCTATTCTGGAGCCTGAAGGGAGGAAGTGTCTAGAGCAGCGGTCCCCAACCTTTTTCAGACAACAGACCAGCTGAGCCTCCGAGGAAAGTGGTGGGGCCCTCCCGTGCAGGTGGCATGTGCGAAGCATTGGGGGAGCGCCGCCCCTTCGCACGGGCACTTGGGCACATATGCAAAGCCGTGCAGGAGTGCCCACCAGCGCTGGCACACATGCAAAGCAACTGTGGGGAGGGAAGTGCATGGGGAGGGAGTCTGTCTTCACGGCCCATTCCGCCTCTGCATCCGGGAGGGAGGTGGCAACATTCACAAGGAACCACCCACCTTCCCTCCATGCACAAAGGGAGCCATCCAGCCCCACCAGGATGCTTCGGGACACTCGTGGCCTGTGCCCCGGCCTCAGCTTTCTTGCTCGCTCACCTGCTGCTGCTGCTTGGCCGGGATACTCGGGCAGCCTTTGTGTGCTCGCGGCAGGAAGAGTGGTGGGGGGTACCTTTGTCTGCCATGCTGGCCACCGTCTTTTCCCGGGGAAGATGTGGCGGCGGAGAGGCGGGTTCTGGCTCTCCAAGCCAGGCGACTGGCTGGCTGACTCACCCCTTGCGCAGACAATGGCCTGCTGGGCATGGGCGGGAGGGGCAGCTGGGCCGGGGCCCCTCTGCCATCATCATCACCATCTCCTCCTCAGCGTGTGGCCCAAGGCTGGGAGGGTGGTCTTGGTCTTCACAAGGCATCTCCAGCTCTTCGGGCATCCCCGAGCTAGCTGGGCAGCAGCAACGCCACCTCCAGCTGCTCACTCACTCGTGCCTCTGCCTGCCGCCGTGTCTCCAACCCACGGCTCCAGCTCCAGAGAGAAACAATCAGCTCTGAGGCACCCCTCTCCTCCTGCAAGGATTCGAGGCGTTCGGTCCCAGCCCGCGCCTCTCCCAATTGGCCAGCCCCGTGCCGCGCTTGGTTGGCTGCCATGCCATGCCACTCGGGGGGGGGAGTCCCCGCCTCTACAGTCCATCCCCGCCCTCTTCGCTGGCTTCCCCCTTGAGCACATTTCTCAGGTTGACTCCGCCTGCCCTCTTTGGATTTGCGAGGACCCAGTACTCTTTTCCCCATCCACCCCCTGCCTTCCTTGGTTGGGATCCATGCCTTCGCCCGTGCTTTGTGCCCATGCGCACGTGCGCAAAGCAGCTGTGGGGAGGAGAGTGCCTGTGGGGGGGGAGGGAGGTCTGTCTTCGCGGCCTGGTCTGGCTCAGGCCACAGACCGGCACCGGGTCGCGGACCAGGGGTTGATGATCAGGGGTCTAGAGGGATGGAATAATGAAAGAGAGAGGAGCCCAGAGGTTTTGAGGGAGAAAAGGAAAAAAAGGGGTTATGATGAAAAGGGGGAATTTAGAATTGAGCAGAGGTTAAAGCTAGGGAAAAAGATAAGGAACCTGTGAGTATGAATTACCTTAATTGGTTGTTGTAGCTGAAGAAAAACTTGAGCTCAAATTTGTTCCCAGTCTAATGTTCTTAGGTAAATAAAAGTTATCATTTTCACTCTTTAGCCACTGGGTCTGGTGTGGTTAATGGCTGGTGCCAGATACACTACTTATTAAAAAGTGACAAGCCTGGATTGGAGCTAGTCACAATAGTGAGGCAAAGATATCAAGGAAAGATAATGAGATGAACTCCGTTAGCTGAAGAACTGGCACTAAAGGACTGAGAAGAAGTAAGGAGAAAAGATAAGATACAAGGTAGCTACTGAAAACAATTTCCTGACTTTGAATACTTCTAAACAATAAGTCTAAACAATTCATTATGCCCTGTTTTTTATTCCTCCATCATATTGGCAAACTCTGTCCACAGACTTTATGGAGGCCTTGTGCTGCTTTTGATCACTTCAAGACCACTTGATAAGCTGTTTTCTCTTTCCCACTTTGCCACAAGGACTCTGTATCCCAGGTTTTTGCCATTTCCTTCTGCCGTCGCTGTGATCCATAGACCTAGGGAGGCAGCAAGCCGCTGTGGACAAAATTGGAAAAGGCCATGCCGCGCTGCTGAAATGAGAAGAGGGCTGGTGGCGTGCTGCCAGGTTCAGGCATGTGGTTAGGTTTTATTACAATGGGGCAGACATAGATTTGTAATAACTTGTATGGCTCTCTTGTTGGCTTTTGATAAATCAAGCAATAATTCAAGAATGACTTATATAGTGGGCTATAGTGCTTCTATGAATGAGAGTGCCTTTTTGTGACTGGCAGGCATTTCAGCTCTGTTTTTATATTAACAAAGCTATTTAAAGAAGAAGAAGAAAGAGTGTTTGTTGTCTTATGTGCAGAATCTCAGAAATGCTTCACTCCTAAATTAATAAGCATTTTTGGTATGTATGTCTAGAACAGACATCTAACTAAATGTTCACCTGGGAAGACATTCAGACTGCTTCTCCTCTACTACAGTAGACTCTCCCAGTCCAGGGAATGCCATGTTTGCAACTGCAAGAGTGAAATTTCATATTCTACTTATCTTTTTTTGGAAAAGTTGGTGTTAGCTCAGTGGTTAGTATTCCCCCTTCCCATGTCAAGGAATTACCCATGATTCTTCAGCACTGGCCATGATGACTAGGATGATGGGATTCCAGCGGTATCTGGAGGACATCAGGTTTTCCAGCCATGCATTAGCCCTTTTGAAGTTGAGGCAGAGAGTACAGTTGGTGTGCACCAAGGATACATTACAGTTCCAGTGGAAATGACTCCCACTGGAAGATGGGTTACTGCACTTAATTGTTTTCCAAACTGTGCTAGAAGGTGGCATGCGGTTGCCTGCAGGTACACGGTGCTTACGACGCACTGTAATGGCAGGACACTAAAAGAGGCATTTTGTCTTTCCCTAGTGTTCGGGTCCCCTGGATATGTCCCTCCCATCTACTCCAGAAATTAAAATAAAAGAGGAAGAACCAGTGGAAGTAGATTCTTCTCCTCCAGACAGTCCTGTAACCAGTCCACGATCACCACAGGCCAAGGAGAAGGTGAGTTGCTGTGAGTTGTCTCTTCATCTGCTTGCATTGCGTTTCTTCCCTTTAAAGAAAAAGTTACCCTGTTGTATTAAAAAAAAAAAAGCAGACATATTCATTATCATTGCTGGCCTCACTGGCACAGTCACAGGAGATACAATGGGCTCAAAAGAATGTGTTCTCTCTTGCACCCCCTCCAAACACACACAGAGATCATGCAGAGAAATTTTCCATCTATTTTGAATCATGTGGTCATGCCAGTAAAGAACTGGTGTCTCTGTTTCAAGAAGTGGTTATAGGTAAAGAGCCTTGACCAGTCATAGCCAGCCATATGTTGACCTTCATGCAGTCCCCAGTGGGAATTGATTGAGGCTGCCAGCCATGATGCAGGCACCTACTGGTTATTGCCTGGAGACCAAGAGGCATCGGAATAAGGCCTGTGAATGTTAAGGAGCTTTGAGAGGGTGAACTGGTGCTTGTGGAAGCTTGGTTGGTATTAACAGCTTTCCGAGCCTTAACCTTTCTGGCGAGAGGCACACTAGCTTTGTACTCAGATTATCATTTCCACCATGATGGTTGCTTCCAAACTCATTAAATGAGAGCTGGCCATCGGCATCTTCCACCTCCTTTGTAAGTTGGGCACCCAAAGAGAAACACACAAAAAGTGTGAGGTTTCATGGCTGTCTCGGCACAAACTGTTACACAAATCTAGAGTAGATTGTTTGCAGAGCCAGGAGTGTGTGACAGATTAGAAAATATTACAGCATCCAGGTAAGTATCTGCCCGTGACAGCTTTCTATCTTTTTTTTAAAGTAGTTTTCTGGCTGTATCTATACAAAGCTGTTTGAAAAGCCATTTTGTTCCTGCTCAAATTTCAAAGAATCCTTGAGCAGAAAATATTACAGCATCCAGGTAAGTACCTGCCCGTGACAGCTTTCTATCTTTTTTTAAAAAAAAAAGTAGTTTTCTGGCTGTATCTGTACAAAGCTGTTTGAAAAGCCATTTTATTCCTGCTCAAATTTCAAAGAATCCTTGAGGAATTTAGTGAAAGGAAATAACTTTATCACTCCCCATCTCCCTCTGAGGTCCATGTCCAGCTTCTGACATGTTCTCTTCATCCACCTTACCCCTCTGTGATTGCACTGTTTTTTGGTTAGTGTCTGATAAGGCTGTGTATGTTGCTTTCAAACTGCCTTCTGTCCTTTTGATGGAAAGTAATGCGGAATAAAACGATACCTCTTTTAATGCTTAGAGCTAATGAGTGTGAGTCATTGCCTTTGATTACGTAACACTTTCAGAATTTATTCTGGTCATGATCCTCTTGAACCAATTTGGTTTCCTCAGTTAAAGACTCTGCCTTTTTAGCTTTGGAATTAAGCTGGGCATTCTGGAAGTGGGCTAATGGACATTTATGCAGCCTCTTAAAAATGTCTCGTGCTTGTTCGTGGAGGATTTACGACTTCTGCACATCCTGTTAAACTGAATTGTTGCTTTGTTTCTGGGCTTCAGTTTTCCCATGAGGGTTGGTCTTGACGATTATGAAGATTGGTAAGCAGTTGCCTAAGATGATAATGTCTGATATTGAGTGTGTGCATGTTTCTTAGGAGAGTCCTTCAAAACCCGTTATCATTTCTACACCGACTCCAACCATTGTACGTCCTGGGTCGCTGCCACTCCACTTGGGCTATGACCCATTACATCCCACTCTCCCTTCCCCAACCTCTGTCATCACGCAAGCACCACCTTCCAACAGACAGCTCGGGTAAGTAAACAGATGGAAGATGGGAGCTTAAAGTACAGGGAGGGGGGTAGGGGAAGAGAGGGGGAGCTGAGGGTCTCCAGATTTACTGGTCAATTAACTATTGAAGAGTTTGCCATTCTTCATGGAAAGATTGGTCTTAAAAATTTCAGAATATGTCAGTTGCATATACAACTGTATCAGAGCAATCACAAGGGATAGGATAGGATCCTGTAACCCCAAAGAGTTGGCTTGAATGTTATGTTAAAAACAATAGACTTGTAGAAGAATCTCATCCTTTCCATCCCTGTGGAAGGAACAGGCTTAAGCTACATCCAATGTCTGCCATTTTTCAACTAGCTGATGCTCCAGCCACAATCTCTGTGATCTTCCCATTTAAATGGTCTCTGGATCAATCCTGAAATTAGTCCCCTTCTTGTAAACAATGGAGGCTTTGATCTCTGGAGAGCTCTTGCCTCTAGCCTTCCTAGTTGAACTATTATTGTCCTCCCTTCCCTATAGCTTTAGAAAAGTCACACCTACTCACCCTTGTTTCCCTGAATTTTCAGCTTATTCAAGCTTCCACAGCCAGCTGAAGCCAGCTTCTGACTAGGGTCAAGGAGCAGCTCTGTCACAAAGGGAAGACACACTATTCTTCATCAACAAATAGCCAAGTCAATGCATCTCATTGTCTCCTGTTAGTGGTGGGTTTTTTATGACAGGCCATTGTGGGAGGCAGCATTTTTGAGCCACAAAATGGTCCTAGATCACTATTGCTGTGATGCCCTGGCTGCTTTGTGATGCAGTTGCTTAGTGATCACACACACCTATATACATACAAGTTCCTACACACACGCATATACACATACATACCAGAAGACAGTTGCAGGCCTTTATTGTGCAATATCAAGTTTGGATCCAGTTTGCCTCTAGAATTGATTCTCTCTCTTCCAGCCAAAGTTGGGGAAAATCTTGGGCTCTGTAGACATTTTAGACCAAATTTCCTATAATCTCTTACTATTGGCAATGCTGCAAGGGCTTCTGCAGCTCATATCCAAAGCATATTAGAGGACCAAAACTTTCCGATTTCTGCAGTGGGGAAAGGGCTCTTCCCAGATGTAGTCTGCTTCAGCTAAGAGTTCTGGTATCTTTTGAAGACTTCTTTGTTCCCCTGCTCTTTGATGCTCAGTGGATAGTCTCTCCTTATGAATATGGCTTGCTCTAGAAGTTGTTAGAGTGGGTCACTTACTGGGAGCCAGCTGAGAGATTCTTGAAGAAGCGAAAGGGTAAACTTCAAAAGCACTGCAACAATTTTGCTTTTGCCTTTCCCTTGACTTAGCAAGGGGGGGACGTGGTGGCGCTGTGGGCTAAACCGCAGAAGCCTGTGCTGCAGGGTCAGAAGACCAGCAGTCGTAAGATCGACTCCACGCGACGGAGTGAGCTCCCGTTGCTTTGTCCCAGCTCCTGCCAACGTAGCGGTTCAAAAGCATGCAGATGCAAGTAGATCGATAGGTACCACCTCGGTGGGAAGGTAACAGCGTTCCGTGTCTAAGTTGCACTGGCCATGTGACCACGGAAGATTGTCTTCGGACAAAACGCTGGCTCTATGGCTTGGAAACGGGGATGAGCACCGCCCCCTAGAGTTGAACACGACTGGACAAAAATTGTCAAGGGGAACCTTTACCTTTACCTTTACCTGACTTAGCAAAGCTGTCCTTCAGTTCAGCGTAGCTAGTTACAGAAACACCATGGTGGTCAAAATGCTACTGCCAACTGTACAAGTCCATTTGATAGCCTACTCTTGCAGTATAAAACTGTTGTAATTCAACGGGTGGTGCTGAAAGTTCTCCTCTAGTTCATTTCTCCCTCTCTGATCCATCACAAGATCAGATGTTGGCTGCCAATGCAAAGGTTGTCTTCCTCGCGTCAGCCGATATGGAAGTCCAAGCCAAATCCTGTCTAAGCTTGAGTGGACGAAGGCAAGCTGGGAGTATCTGAGCTTCTGCAGCCCATGTGTACTCTGGCAAAGGGGACCAGTCGGCTGAATTGGGACATGTGATGATTCCCTCCTTGCTTCTTTTGCCGTTGCACTGATGCCCAAGTTGTTCTACAGACAGCTTAGAAGTATGTTGGGATGGTGTTCTGAGTTGTCCGAGAGATCCCCTTGTGTCTTTGATGGTGTTGGGGAAGGATTTCTGAAAGTGCAGACCATCTGGAATATAGTTTGTATTATTTCTGTTGCCTTCCAGGTCTCCAACCAGCTCCGTACCCCTTGTCATGCACCTTGTGAATGGGCAGACCATGCCTGTCCTTCCTGGCCCTCCCGTTCAGATGCCTTCTGTCATATCGGTAATTGAAGCTTCTGTTATGGTCGCTTTTGATCAAGGAAGGGACAGCTTTTTCCCTTTTGTAGAGCATATGTGGGCACTTTAATTTACACAATTGACATCTCCATCTTTCTCTGTTTTCTCGCCCCAACTTCCGCTCGGTACGGAACGAGTCTGAGCTGGAGGGGGAGGACAAGGAGGCGGAGGGAACCACAGCCTGCAAGGTAGCTGTGCCTGCCAACCCCATTGCGAAGGCGATAAGGCCTCCAAACCAAGCCTCGGCCTGAGCAGATGGCTGACGCTGTTGGCACCCGGGCTGGGAACGGCAGGCTCTCTGATTAGCTCACTCTATGCTGAGATCACTCAAGCTTGCAGAGAACATGTTGGCCTTTCCAAGCCAGGAAACACTCCTCCTTGGCCTCTTCAGGGCATGAAATGGCTATTTAGCTTTTATATCTGCACATGAATTTTCTCGAGATCTGTGAGTGACAAGCGTGAGGACCTTCTGGTACAATTTGCTTTGACTCTCTTGCTCACAGTACAGACTGAGCAAATTCCAGGGGTGGTGTATTTTGAGATGCAACATTTGCATCCATTGGAAGTGTTCAGAAAGTTTCCGGCATGTGTTGGAAATTGAGGGTAGCTGAGGAGAAGCCTTGTACAATCTAGGAGATCTGGCGTGTGTTCTGAGGAACTGGGAGCATCTTGTGTTTCTGATCGTGTAACTGGCACAGCTGCTGCCTATTCTCCAGAATATTTTAACAGTGTGACATTAATTCTACTTAACCATCCATCATTTTCTCCCCTCAGCTGCTCTGGATGTTAGTTAAATCTATCATAAAAGTTTAGAAAGAAGGAGACACACTTACAGAGCATTGTAGAAAGGAAAATAAATACCAAAAGTGACCTCAGGAGCACTTTAAATGGCACCATTTTATTCTACTTTTCCTCTAAGGAACTGTATGTGTTCTCCCTACTTCATTTGTGCATCAAAACTACACTATAGTCTAGACTAGGCTGAGGATGATCAGCCCAGGATCACTCAGTGAGGTTCATAAACAGTGAGGATTTAAACCTAAGCCTCCATAGTGCTAGACTCACATTGATCTTTACATCACACTTATTTTGAAGGGTAGTCATCTCCTAAAATGATGTCATGATGAGCTTAGTAGACAAACAGGCTTTAAGCTGGAATTCCTGTATTCCCAGATTTTCTGCTTGGCACTAGCAATGTCTAATATCATGGCAAAGATTTTCTGAGGACTGTATCACTCATGACAGATGTTCAGGATGAACATGGAAGGTCCTGTACTCTTGCATTTTAAACAAGTAAAATAGCCTTCCATTGCCTGCTTTCCTCCAGGTATTTTGGATCACAACTGCCATCATCCCTGTCCTTGCGACAGTATTGGCTGTTTTTTTGTAGGGAAGATTGTATGTTTAGAGAGGCTGGAATAAAACAACACATAAATGTACCGTACAGATACAGGATTGGCTCGCTGCTAGGATTTGCTGAACTGAAATGTGCAGAATGGCTCAGAGGGGAGAGGAAAGAAGGAAAGAATTTCCTGTGTCCTACGGTTTCTGACTCCTCAGAACGGCCGTGGCATCACTCTGCTGTTAGGCAGTTTTTTTGTTTCTGGGTTTTCTGTCAAAATGCTATAGTGAGGTTTCTAATATATTGTATTCCTCAGGCCATTTCCCCCTCTCCTCTTTGTAATATCCTTAAGTAAGTGTTTTTTCATTCCTCTTCCAACCTGCAGTTGGCGAGGCCCATGTCTGTGGTGCCAAACATTCCTGGTATTCCTGGCCCTCCCGTGATCAGCAGTGGCTCCATTTCCCCTTCCGGTCTGCCAATGCACTCAGAAGCTAAAATGGTGAGTTGCCTTCTGTGACCATCGAGTCTATGCTTCTGCCTTCTGGGTGTGAGGTTTCCCTGCTTTCACAAGCCTATTCCTCCTCCCTTGAAAAGTTGGAAGATCAGGGTTGTATGCTTGTAGAGCCGATGAACGGGCATAGAGCTTTTCAGAGTGGATTGTTTATCTGACAGTTTTGGAAGGCAAGGCAGGATATGTGTCTTCTCACCTTTTAAAATTAAAAAGAAACCCTCTTAACAGCCACTCTTGAAGGGGGTCTCCTGCCCGCGGCCTCTAGCCTTGTTGCCTGAACCAAAAGGATACAGTGAGAGGGGCAAAGTTGCAAACTTCATCCTACTTACCCAGAACCAGGTTCAGGCTGAAAAAATGTTCCTCAACTCTTAGTGAAGAACCTGTTCACTTGTTTAAATGGGCACAACCAGATTTTTCCAACCCACCCTTGCTGCACCTTTTACTGTTACAGTATATCCCATTTATGCTCGGGAGACTGGACATGAGAAGACCACCTTGTCCCATTGAACCACTCTTGCTTATAAGATCTTCCAGAGAGGCCCTTCTCTCGCTCTCTCTCACAGTACATCTTGTTGAGAGGATGAGAGGGGATCTTTTCAATGACTGTTCCCAGGCTGTCAAACTCTCTTCAGCAGGAGTCTCGATTGTCTTCTTCTTTGTTGACTTCTGCTGGCGGGCAGAAAGCTTGGAAGCCTTTTGATAACTGAGTAGGCTGCCGAGAGAGTGATAGTTAATGGGGGAAGCTGCACTCCCCCCCCCCGGAAACATTTTTAATTGTCCTAATTTGGTCATGTTATTGTATGTTTAATTGTACTTCATAGCATGTAGTTTTTGTTAAAATTCTTTTCATAAGCCACATTGAGTCACTATGTCAGGGTAAAGGCAAGATATGAAAGAAATAAATGTAAATAAACAGGTGGGTATGAGTGAAATGTGGATGCTGTGACTTAAGCAAGGAGACGCGGTTTCCACTCAAACTACTGTTGGATTTAGTCACGTATCCTAAGAAGTTTTGCCATTCCTCATTACCAAAAGCTTACATCCCTGTAAAATCTATTGAACATCTTGAGCAGAGTATGAGGAAACTAGGTGGTCAACCATCCAAGTGGAAAAAAACACCATGCGATCAAAAACCTAAAGAATATACAATGTATGCCAGGTAGACAGTTACCTGATTCAATCAGAAGAATGTTAAATATTATTCACCAGAACTGGCTACAAAGGAAACAAGCAATTTTGTCATTAGATGCAAAAGAAAGCATTTGATTGTCTCAAACAGAAATTCCTGATTGCAATTCTACACAAGATGGAAATGTAGCAAAAACTTTTTTAAATGTATAGATAGGCTCTTGTTGTTGTTTGGTCATTTAGTCGTCTTTGTGACCCCATGGACCACAGCACACCAGGCCCTCCTATCTTCCACTGCCTCCCAGAGTTGGGTCAAATAGATAGGCTCTACACTGATTCAAAAGCTAGAATTAAAATCAGTAGCTATACTAGTAAAGATTTCAGTTGCAGACAGAAACTGAGCAAGAGTGTCTGCTCTCCCCCATTGTTGTTTACCATTGCATTGGAACCTCAGGCAATATAAAAGATATCTACCCAAGAGATCCATCTCATAAACTAAGTCTCTTTGCAAATGATGTATCTGTCTTTTTGTGAGATCCAGTATGAGAAGCAAAGATAATAATGGAGGAATTCAAATACAGTCAACCCCTGACTTATGAACAGCCCTACATACGGACTTTTCAATTTACAAAGAGCTCCGTTGGCAAAAATTGGCATCGACTTGCGAACGGAGCTCGACCTACGAACGAGGTTGAGGCTCCGTTTGCAAGTCAATGCCATTTTTTTTGCCAACGGAGCTGTTCATAAATGGCTCCCTGCAAAAAGGCAAAAAGAAAGGGCTGGAAATTCGAATTTCCAGCCCTTTCCCCCTGCTTTTTTGCCTTTTGAAATGCTGGAACGTATTAATTCCATTCCCATGCATTTCAGTACTTCGACTTACGAATTTTTCGATGTACGAACGTTCCAATACGGATTAAGTTCGTAAGTCGAGGTACCACTGTAATATGGGGATACAGCAGATCTTTATAGTGACTGCACTGAATTGGAGGCTCCTTGCTTAGGTACTACATAGTACGCAACCAGACCCACCCCTAAATTTAAAGTTAATTGCACATATCAATAAAAAGATGATGTCATTTAAATGCTTAGGTATCAATATTCCAAAAACAAACAAGAAAAAATATTTTTAAACCATTATGGTACCAAATAAAATGAGATTTTCTTAGATGATTCACATTGAGACTTATCATGGTTAGGCAGAGTCCTGGCCACTAAAATGGCAATGCTACCGAAACTGACTTTTTTGTCATTGCAGATTTTATCTCTTACATCAACACGAGAAACTATATTAAAGTGGTGGTTTGCTTTTGGCAAGTTTGTGTTTTCAAATTAAAAACAAAAAAACAAAAACCATGCATAACCAAATTCTTAAGGTTCCTAAATAAGCAAAAAGGGGGGATTAGGACAATCTAATCACATATGGTGTTATCATTACATTTACCGTCTGATTTCGCTTCCAAAACAGGATAAAGAAGAGCAATGGGTGTCTAAAGAACTGGAAATAGGATCAAGAGGGAAAATTGTCTTATGTTGCCTCAAAACCTCCTCAATAACAACAGCAACAACAATTCCATTCTTAGAATGCACTCTGGAAATTTAGACTAGAAGGTTTAGAATATTGACTCCCACTTGTAGGTAGGCATCCTTCAGTCTCCAGAGACTATGGTAAAGTGCTCTGAATAGAGGTCTTGGAACAATGTCTAGTGTGGCTGAGAAGGCCAATTCGAGAGTGCCAATCCCTTCCACACTGAAGACAAATCCAATCTGTCCCCTGTCCAGCTCCCTGATTTTACTGGTTTCAGAATTGCCACTTCGCCTCAGCCTCCTGGATCAGGGTCTCTTCGAATTGGGAGAGGCCATGCTGCACCACATGCCTCCAGGCTGAACACTCAGATGTCAGTGTTTCCCATCTGTTAAGGTCCATTCCTAAGGTCTTCAGATCCCACTTGCAGATATCCTTGTATCGCAGCTGTGGTCTCCCTCTGGGGTGATTTCCCTGCATTAATTCTCCATACAGGAGATCTTCTGGAATCCATCCATCAGCCATTCTCACAACATGCTCAAGCCAACGTAGACGTCGCTGTTTCAGTAATGTATATATGCTAAAAATTCCAGCTTGTTCTAGGACAACTCTGTTTGGAACTTTGTCCTGCCAGGTGATACCAAAAATGCGTCGGAGACAACGCACATGGAACGTATTCAACTTCCTCTCCTGCCGTGCACAAAGGGTCCAAGACTCACTGCAGTACAGGAGTATACTCAGGACTCCCACTTAACTCTCGTACTTTTACACCCATTGTTCTACCACCTGGGTAAGATGAAATAAGTTGCCAAGGTGGAAAAGTGCTAACTTGCTCATCCCCTTATGACTCAACACATACCAGAAAGTGTACCACCTGCACCCAGTATCTGGATGCATAGATGTCAGATGGGATGTTTTATACTTCTGAAAACAGTCAAAAGGGAAATACCAGTAAGCTGCTCCATGGCTTTGAAAATCTAAAAATGACCACGGAAAAAAGGTCCTTGCTCCTGAGATCTGTAAAATATTCCTACATTAAACAGCTACTCCATGACTTACTTGAAACCAACCTGGGAATGTATATTGGGGATGACAGTTCTGGATGCCCCCTGGGCAAAGGTCTGAATTTACAATGCATGTACATCAGTTTTAGCCTCGTATCACGAAATGTCTGTCAGGCTACATAGGAGTGTTAAATTGGTCATGGGCGACCAAGCTGTAAGCGTAGTTTAATTGCACTTAATAAAATGTTTTTAATAAAATAAAAAAACCTCTAAAGAACACAGGAGGGAATCTGCTCATTTTCTGAATTTCCTGCCCCCCCCGGTTTCCTGACAGAGGCTAAAAGCTAGTCTGACACAAGGAGTGACGTCGTCCCTGAACGGCAGTGGCATGGTGGTCGGTTCAGCAAGTACGATGGTCACGTCTCATCCTGAACAAGGTCAAGTCCTGATCCAGCATCCTGATGCACCTTCTCCAGCCCAACCACAGGTCTGCATAAACACAGAGGGGATTAAGGGGGTGGGGCGAGAGAGAACTGGCATGTTACAGAAAGGGTGGCTAAACTCTGGGGTAGAACCAGGGAATCTTTGTCTCTCCAAGTATTTTGGACTTCGACTCCCAGAAGCCTTAGCCAACAAGGCAAGTGGTAAATTGTGGGAATTATAATCCAAAACATCTGGAGGGGCCAAAAGTTGCCTATCCCATGTACTTGGGGACAATTAGTGCCCCAGGAGCAATGACATACAGTGGTGCCTCGCTTAACGACGATAATCTGTTCCAGGAAAATCGCTGTTAAGCGAAAACATTTTAAAGCTAAAATAAAAACCCCACTGAAACGCATTGAAACCCATTCAGTGTGTTCAAATGGGGTAAAAACTCACCATCCAGCGAAGATCCTCCATACGGTGGCCATTTTCATTGCCTGTATAGCAAGGAATCCGTCCCTAAACACAGTGGGGAACCATTTTAACTACCCAGTGGCACAATCTAATCACATATGGTGTTATCATTACATTTACCGTCTGATTTCGCTTCCAAAACAGGATAAAGAAGAGCAATGGGTGTCTATAGAACTGGAAATAGGATCAAGAGGGAAAATTGTCTTATGTTGCCTCAAAACCTCCTCAATAACAACAGCAACAACAATTCCATTCTTAGAATGCACTCTGGAAATTTAGACTAGAAGGTTTAGAATATTGACTCCCACTTGTAGGTAGGCATCCTTCAGTCTCCAGAGACTATGGTAAAGTGCTCTGAATAGAGGTCTTGGAACAATGTCTAGTGTGGCTGAGAAGGCCAATTCGAGAGTGCCAATCCCTTCCACACTGAAGACAAATCCAATCTGTCCCCTGTCCAGCTCCCTGATTTTACTGGTTTCAGAATTGCCACTTCGCCTCAGCCTCCTGGATCAGGGTCTCTTCGAATTGGGAGAGGCCATGCTGCACCACATGCCTCCAGGCTGAACACTCAGATGTCAGTGTTTCCCATCTGTTAAGGTCCATTCCTAAGGTCTTCAGATCCCACTTGCAGATATCCTTGTATCGCAGCTGTGGTCTCCCTCTGGGGTGATTTCCCTGCACTAATTCTCCATACAGGAGATCTTCTGGAATCCATCCATCAGCCATTCTCACAACATGCTCAAGCCAACGTAGACGTCGCTGTTTCAGTAATGTATATATGCTAAAAATTCCAGCTTGTTCTAGGACAACTCTGTTTGGAACTTTGTCCTGCCAGGTGATACCAAAAATGCGTCGGAGACAACGCACATGGAACGTATTCAACTTCCTCTCCTGCCGTGCACAAAGGGTCCAAGACTCACTGCAGTACAGGAGTATACTCAGGACTCCCACTTAACTCTCGTACTTTTACACCCATTGTTCTACCACCTGGGTAAGATGAAATAAGTTGGCAAGGTGGAAAAGTGCTAACTTGCTCATCCCCTTATGACTCAACACATACCAGAAAGTGTACCACCTGCACCCAGTATCTGGATGCATAGATGTCAGATGGGATGTTTTATACTTCTGAAAACAGTCAAAAGGGAAATACCAGTAAGCTGCTCCATGGCTTTGAAAATCTAAAAATGACCACGGAAAAAAGGTCCTTGCTCCTGAGATCTGTAAAATATTCCTACATTAAACAGCTACTCCATGACTTACTTGAAACCAACCTGGGAATGTATATTGGGGATGACAGTTCTGGATGCCCCCTGGGCAAAGGTCTGAATTTACAATGCATGTACATCAGTTTTAGCCTCGTATCACGAAATGTCTGTCAGGCTACATAGGAGTGTTAAATTGGTCATGGGCGACCAAGCTGTAAGCGTAGTTTAATTGCACTTAATAAAATGTTTTTAATAAAATAAAAAAACCTCTAAAGAACACAGGAGGGAATCTGCTCATTTTCTGAATTTCCTGCCCCCCCCGGTTTCCTGACAGAGGCTAAAAGCTAGTCTGACACAAGGAGTGACGTCGTCCCTGAACGGCAGTGGCATGGTGGTCGGTTCAGCAAGTACGATGGTCACGTCTCATCCTGAACAAGGTCAAGTCCTGATCCAGCATCCTGATGCACCTTCTCCAGCCCAACCACAGGTCTGCATAAACACAGAGGGGATTAAGGGGGTGGGGCGAGAGAGAACTGGCGTGTTACAGAAAGGGTGGCTAAACTCTGGGGTAGAACCAGGGAATCTTTGTCTCTCCAGGTATTTTGGACTTCAACTCCCAGAAGCCTTAGCCAACAAGGCAAGTGGTAAATTGTGGGAATTATAATCCAAAACATCTGGAGGGGCCAAAAGTTGCCTATCCCATGTACTTGGGGACAATTAGTGCCCCAGGAGCAATGACATACAGTGGTGCCTCGCTTAACGACGATAATCTGTTCCAGGAAAATCGCTGTTAAGCGAAAACATTTTAAAGCTAAAATAAAAACCCCACTGAAACGCATTGAAACCCATTCAGTGTGTTCAAATGGGGTAAAAACTCACCATCCAGCGAAGATCCTCCATACGGTGGCCATTTTCATTGCCTGTATAGCAAGGAATCCGTCCCTAAACACAGTGGGGAACCATTTTAACTACCCAGTGGCCATTTTGAAACCACCGATCAGCTGTTTAAAAAACATCGTTTTGCAAAGAATTGGTTCCCGAAGCAAAGCGATATTCCCCCATTTAGACCATCGTTTTGCGGTCGCAAAAAATCGTTAAGCGGATTTGTCGTAATGCGGGGCTATCGTAAAGCGAGGCACCACTGTATAAGGAAGGGTTTCCCTTCTTTAGAAATCCTGGTACAGATCCATCTTACCTTGCTGCTAATGCATTGGGAAAAGGGCAATTTGTATAAAATCTGCAGGAGATTAGCCAGCAGTGGTACAGTTCAATGGTAGTAGCAGTGGCACAAATCAGATGGGAAACTGCATGGCTTACAGATCTCCATGTTATGTAAAACCCGCTGTAGACCCTTGTCTTCCAATGCTCCTTTCTCCTTCCCCCATGAGAACCAGTTTATTTTCTGATTTGCCAGGAACCCTACACTAAAATTTTAGATTTGGCATTTATCAGAATAAACATGGGAAATGTGATGTGCATTTATCTCAGTTGCATATGTTTTTCCAGTTGTCAAATGCGGGTTTTCTTGTTGCAGAATATGTGAGGTTTTTACAGAGTTCTGGACCTCCTAAACAGGCGTAAAGATCTGTCCTATATTCCATTGCTTCTCTCGTCATTGCTGCCAGGCATTTTCCACTCAGATATCACAGACGATAGGAACACAGCCTGGAATATAGAAACAATATTTTGAGATATTCACTCCCTCTGTCTCTTTTCCTGTTTTAATTACTTGGGTTTAAATGCACCCCATTTGATCCTGCCAGCTCACCAAATGCCAGCCTTCCATCAAAACCACCACCTGCTCTGTCAGCTAGATTGGCTTCCAGAACTTTACTATCCATATGCTGCCTGACTGACAGTGAGTATCAGTGAAGTGTAAACTGGCCTGGCATAATTACGGAACCCATTTGGTGAGGTAGCATGAAGTTGGGTACCTGCAGGTCCGTTCTTGCTCCTGACCGTTCATTTCCTTTGTTCCCTAACAAAATGATAAAAGGATGGCATATTCTTTGTGACTGTGTTGGTTATACAGAGAAAGAAGCACAGATATGGGTCCCTTGTTGGGAGAAACGCGGCATATCCCACTTAACTCTCGTACTTTTACACCCATTGTTCTACCACCTGGGTAAGATGAAATAAGTTGCCAAGGTGGAAAAGTGCTAACTTGCTCATCCCCTTATGACTCAACACATACCAGAAAGTGTACCACCTGCACCCAGTATCTGGATGCATAGATGTCAGATGGGATGTTTTATACTTCTGAAAACAGTCAAAAGGGAAATACCAGTAAGCTGCTCCATGGCTTTGAAAATCTAAAAATGACCACGGAAAAAAGGTCCTTGCTCCTGAGATCTGTAAAATATTCCTACATTAAACAGCTACTCCATGACTTACTTGAAACCAACCTGGGAATGTATATTGGGGATGACGGTTCTGGATGCCCCCTGGGCAAAGGTCTGAATTTACAATGCATGTACATCAGTTTTAGCCTCGTATCACGAAATGTCTGTCAGGCTACTATAGTAATGCCACCTTATACCAGCGAAATAGGCACATGTGACTCTTAATATATCTGACTTCGGGTGAAAAGGACATGGTAGTGTAAGATCATTTTGCCATCTATGATGGCATATCCTGTTATTTCACAGTTTTGGTTCAGAATTAGCAAAGAGGTTAATTGTATTGTTAATGATATTTTTCCCTAAATCCAGTGGCATCCCTTTTGAGCATCTTCTTGGAGGCCAAGACTAGACTTAAAGAATTATCAACATCCTTGTTGTTTGTAGCCAGACAAGACATGATGAAAAGGTGGAAGGAGAGGAAGGATTTAACAAGTGACTCATGGTATAAAAGAATGTCATTAGCTAGAAAACGGGCTCAAGAAGGACAGAAACAAAGAGACCATGCTGAAGCCAGCAACTTGGATGCAATCTGGTTTCCATTTATTTCTTCAATTCTTCTCCCTCTTTTTTATGACTGACTGCATGAAAAGCAGTATACTAATATATAGTTATTTATATGTACATAGGAGTGTTAAATTGGTCATGGGCGACCAAGCTGTAAGCGTAGTTTAATTGCACTTAATAAAATGTTTTTAATAAAATAAAAAAACCTCTAAAGAACACAGGAGGGAATCTGCTCATTTTCTGAATTTCCTGCCCCCCCCGGTTTCCTGACAGAGGCTAAAAGCTAGTCTGACACAAGGAG